CTCTATTACCAGTAAATGTAAATTGTGCGTAGCAGTGCTTAGAGATCAAGAAATGACTTACTCTGCGATTTCCTCTCAGAGCAACCTGAGAATCCTGGCGTGCTCTTCGATCCGCAGTTCTCTCCCTGCCATCTGTTATACTGAGAAATGGATCTCGGCCAAAAGGATCAGAAAAGCTTCTCATCATCTGCCGCATGTATTCATGGTGTGCGGCAAAAGGGTCGCTGAAAGAGACATTCCACACGCACAGTTAGGGGGGTTTATTCCAACTGATGTAAAATAGCTCTGAAACTCTTAAATCTATTTTTTAAAATCATTCTATATGGTTCTATCTATATCCTTTATTTCAATGGAACCCAACTGTGCTGAAATTTTTACCCTTCTGCTCCTCCTTCCCACCTCCCTGGTTGAGTGGTTTAGCTCTTTCTTCTCAGATGCCTGCCTTGTTCTCCTGCGTTCCTGACTGTCTGTCCACCCTGCATTTTTTCTTTCCTCAGCTGTTCTAAGTATTCCATCACTGGCAGCCACGTTTGGCTTTCTATTTGCCAAGAGCTACAGAACCAAACCTATACTTTAGCACTTTTTAATATTTAAATATCAGGGATTGGAGGTAAAAGAATACCACTTTCCATCCTCCCTGGCCCACGTCCTTAAAAACATAGACAGTGCTCTAAATTCAAGCCAATTCCATCACCTTTATTTTAATTCCCCACCATTGCTCCTTTTTGCCCTCCCATTCCTCCACCTTCACAAATTACATTCTCACATCCCTTCTCACCACCCTGGAAGAATTCTTACCACCTCCTAGCTTTCCTGTTAGTCTCCCCATTCCTCTCTGCTTTCTAACCACTCAACATCCATCTCCAAAAATCCACAGAACCCCACCAGTAATTCCAATGCTTGGCTTGGCATGCAGGTAAGTAATAAGAGAGCAACACTAGCAATGTCTTAATTCTTTGCTTTCTTTAATTTGTCGTAGAACTAGAAAGTTCAAACAGAGGCCAGAAAAGGAGTAAAGCATAAGATCTTATGACTTACGATGTTAAATGAATTGCACTGCTGCCTCTGGCCCAAACACTAGAAATGACTACTTCATATAGAAAACATTTCATTTCCTCCCTTCATATCCAGCCTAATTTTCCCCTTTGTTGCTCCACTGAAAGCCTCTTTATTAACATCACCAGTCACTTCCCAGCTATGTTTACTTAGACTTTGTAGCACCTCATCTCCCTTCCTACCAATTTCCTGCCATTTCCCAGATGTCTCACGCCTTCCTTCTCCCCAGGACTTTGCTGTGACATCGCTGCCTCCACAAAGGAAAGTTCCAGGCTGTTCCTCCAGCTCCATAGTACCCATCAGCTCCTGAAGCTGCTTTCCTGTTGCCCACCTCTCATCTCCCATCCCACACACATCTCCTCCTGGCAACTCTGATATCTTTGCCCTTTACAGTCTCCTCTTACTACAGCATCTAATTTAATTTTTCCCTTTAAGTTAAAAAAAAAAAAAAAAAAAAAAAAAAAAAAAAAGCATTAACAGATTCAGTTAGAAATGCAAAGCTAATTAATTTTCGAACAAGATTCTTAATCCAACAATATCCCTTTAAGCTGTGCATTTAGTTCACTCTAGTGCAGGCAGACTGTTACAGTTCCACAAGAGCAGTTTTTCCACTGCCATAAGTAGACCCTAATCTACCCCACTCACATGACTGCCAGCTTTAACTTCAATCCCAATGCGATAAGCAGCTCGCATACAGCGAGTTTGCTGTTCACAGGATGAAGAACAGATGCAAACAGGTCACTGCACAGCCCAAGATGAGGGAAGCACGCAGGCCCTATCACAGCATAGGCATATTTCCACACAGTCTCACACAACAAACTTGAGATAGGTGTGGTTACCAGGACAAAGATGGATGAATTGTATTCTATCAATAGCTTAAACATAGGATTTCTCCCCACCCTGTCCCAGTTCAGAAGTAGGTCACACAATTACCTACAACACAAGAAAAATAAGACTCCATGGGCTTCATTTAGATTAAAATAAAAAAAAAGGTCTGTTGCTTTTAGTGTGCATAACACATAATAATGTGTCACCTACCAGTCACACTTCATACGTTCTGAAATTCTTTTTGTCTTACTTCATGTTCTCTGGTCTCTTGGCCATTCACCTTCTACTACACACATTGCTACACTCATAAATGCATCCAAACTTAGGGATTTTTGCTTTTGTTTTTCGTACCTTTCAAGGAAAGTTCTGTGAAGCAGTTTAGCAGCACAGCTCCTTACCACCACAGACAAGGAAGTAGGATACAAACTGTGCAGCAACTGTTTTAGGAACTGAGCACCCATCTCCCTAGGGACGTTCTGGAGCCAGCTGTAAGAAGGCTCAGTGTTGTAAAGCTTCCAAAGCAGCAGTACTGAGCACACAGAAGTTGGGCAAAACCAATGCTAAGTCAGCAGAGAATCTCCCTGAAAGCCAAAGCTTCTAAAAGGATTAAATGTATCCTCTTGATGTCATTGATGACCCAAACTCAAACCATAACTACAAAAGGAGTATGACACCCTTATAAAATCTATATATTAGAAAAAGAAAAAAAAAAAAGGCAAAGTCTCTTTAGTATCCTCTGCTAGGGTTATAAGATCTTCAATCCTTTATTCCAATCATGTTCTACAGCAGCAACAGCTATAGAGTAACCTTGTTTAGTTACCACTGGTCACCTGGTATTCAATCTGAATTTTTTAGGGAGAAATAAAAGATACTTCTGATGAGACAGACATGACTTCTGCATACTTTGCACTATCATATTATAAAAGTGATGGTGGAAAAGGAAATCAGTTCTGTAAGGATTTCACATGCTGAATCTGTAACCTTCACATGTTAAACACCATAAATTTATCCTCCCAATTAAGTGCAGAACAGAACTAATTGGTACATTTGTCATTGCACGACTGCAGTAACAGAACCTGCACTTTTGTCTAGTACAGATATCACCTGACCTTCACTTGGCATTCAGGTGTCTGAAGGGATCAACACAGGAAACCAAAAGCAGAGCCTCTGAGGGCACTGATGTCTCAAATAAGCATGCTGATATGAAGAAATACATATTAAAAATGTGACAGTGGATGCTGCTAGCACATGTGCTAGTGAGCATCTCTCCATTTCTCTGGCTAAGTTCTTCAGTGACCCATGTTTAAGGATCCACGTTTCAGAAGGGTGCCATAATAAAAGCACAAGTGCTGCTTCTTACATCAGCGTATGCTCCCATTTGGCTGAAATTCAGTATGCTAAAGCAATAAATTCACTTTGGGATTTTTGAAAACCGGGCTTTGCATTCAATACTTTTTGGTTTTGTTTTAATTAGGGTGGTACACGGGACTGAAGTTGCAGAACAACCCCAAAGACGGAGCCTGGAGCAATAAGACAAAGGCTGTGCACTGGTAAGTGAAATACACTTAAACCCACTTGGCAGGAGAGCTGCAGCTCCTGCACCTGTCTGAGCCATCAGGCACAGCCCTGCTGGGCCTTGTGGGCACTTCCAGGACAGCTGCTCCAGATGGAGATGTTCCCTCTCAGACGCTATTTCCAGATCAGCAGTCAAAACCTCTCCTTGTGAGGCAGCAGAAGCCTATTATTACACTACCTTGGAAGTTCATCTTATCTGAGGTAATAAACTCATTTCCTTAACTATATGCAAAGCAGATCAACGACAACGGTGCCAAGGAAATGAATCTCAATATCAACCTCTTATCTCTTTCTCACACACTCCCTTCCCCTATCTCCTGCCATCTATTTTCCTCCAATTTTAGCCCTCATCAGGAGGTTTAAAACAATAAAATGATGGAATTGAATAAACAAGAAGGCAATTATTGTTTCAGAGGATCACAGAAGCACACTGCAAATTGCTACAAACGAGACAGTTTCCATCGTTATTCCCATTTCAATCAGAGGATCTGCACAGTCTTTAGCAGCGTATCCTGGTATGAGTTGCTCTAGCTGCATATTTGTGTAGTAACCATCTTGCCCAGTGCCAGGAAGGTGCTGCAGCTGCAGCCGAGCTGGTTCCCTTTAAGAGGCACAGCCTCCAAGGGGCACAGCCTCAGCTCAGACACCCCGTAACTATGGGATGCAGTCAACAAACCCACATCACAGGGCTCCTGTGTTACCCTTCCTTGTCCACCCACCCACGTTATCCTGAGCTTTCCTTGTGATTAAGCTCCATGTAGGAAGCCCCATACACTGAAATGGCTTCATATATAAATATACGTAATAATTTGTGTTCTTCTGAGTTCTCACATCCCATTTTCACTCCCCTCATGTGCAGACCAGGCAGGTTTCTGGCAGTAACACACCTCACATAGGTTTATTTTACCACAACAACACCTGGAATTGCCTTTCACACGCGCACTGACAACAGGAGCTGAGGAACAGCCCGTGGTTAAATACAGATATCTTAAAGAGCCCAGGAAACCGAGAACACCCAGCACGGCTGCCCGTGTTTAACGAGCCTACGTTCAAAAATAAAACACAAAGATCAACCCCCACGACATTCAGACCCCAGGAGCAGACGGCTTCTCCTCAGCAGATGCCAAGTCTCATTACCACGAAGTTCCTCAGGCTGACAGCACCGCCCGAGCATCGCTTCGGCCTTCAACCCCACTGTCGCCAACCGCGCCCCGCACGCCCGTCCGCCTCCCATAGCGCGACCCTCAGAGACCCACCGGACGGGCGACCCGCAATGCGGAGCCCGCCGCAGCCCCCCACTCACCGGAAGAACGGATCCTCCTCGAAGCAGCGCCCCAGAGCCCCGAACATGGCTGCGGCCCCGCGCCCTGTGAGCGCCCACCGCCCCGCCGGCCCCTCACGGCGGCGCCCTCTCGCCCACGTGACGCCTCCCAGCGCCGCTATTGGTCGCGACGGGGCGGCGGGGCGGGGCTACCGCTGCCTTGGCAACGTCTGCTTGCGCGCGGGAAGGTTCGGGGGCTGAGGGCGGCGGGAGCGCGCGGAGCGGCGCCTCGGGGCGGGCGGCGTTGCCTCCAGAGCAGGGCTGCGGGAGCCCGGGGTGCCCGGCGAGCGGGAGGGGGCCCGAAGCTCGGCGCCTTAGGAATAGTTTTACTTTTTTTCCACTAGATGGCAGTAAAATAAAGTCCCTGCGTTCCTCTGAACGCGGGGCTCGGCTTGCCGCGCGGAGAGCGGCGATCCCTGGTAAAAGCGTGGCGTTAACGGAAGCCACGAATAACGCACGGCACCGAGAGCGACTGAGGCCGAGACGGGCCGAGAGCCGCCCGTCGGGGCCGTTGGACGGCGCCCTGAGGGGGCGGTTGGCGCCCAGAGGGGGCGGTGACGTCACGGCCTTCACACAGCGCTCCGCGCAGCGCGGGGCTCTGAGAGAAAAACCGGCACAAAGGACGGGCGAAGCGAGCCGGCAGTGCTGTGAGAATCTCCTCAGCAGGTGAGCTCCGGCCCGCGGGCTGCAAAGCTCTTTGAAACGCCTGTGAGGTGAGATGGTATTCGGACCGGGAACTCGACCTGCGCAGACCAGGTCCTGGAGAGTTCGTCCACTGATCACTTGTCGGTATATTTTGATTAATTGAGAGCTGCCCTGGATCAGTTCGGTGCATTTCATATTATTGCAGTTTGTAAGATACATGTCACAGAATCGCAGAATGTCCTGGGTTGCAAAGGAGCACAACGCTCATCCAGTCCCAACCCCCTGCTATGTGCAGGGTCACCAACCAGCAGACCAGGTTGCCCAGAGCCACATCCAGCCTGGCCTTGAATGCCTGCAGGGATGGGGCATCCACAGCCTCCTTGGGCAACCTGCTCAGTTCCACGCCTGTAATGCAGTTCATAATATAATATTCATTAGTATCCATGACACGCTGTGCTACGTTGAGTATTTATGACATACTCCAAACCAGCAAGGCAAGTTTGCATGAACATGACTAGCGCGTGGCTAACTTGTTTGCAGTTTGCCACCAAAACCTAACCAAATATATATATATATTTTGCCAGCACTTACTGCTGTTTCTGAGCACGGTGCAACCCAGACTGCACGCTCAGTGTATGCGGTGTAGCCTTTGTATGAATTCTGCCTTGTAATAGCAAACCCATTACTTCTGTGTAGTGACAAAGAGGCAATATGGAGCCTTCCAACAGCTGCTGAGAGCACATCGTATCATCTGCACTTTGTCACTTAACTTTCTATGGAGTCCAGACTGCAGGAGACGAGATTTCGTTCTCAGAGTCAGAGCAGCCCCAGAGACGGATTACTGTGCAGATAACTAAGCAAAATGAGTTCCAGTTATTGTTAATTTTTTGGCTGCTGGTAGGAAGATGGGCCCTGTTAGAAGTGAGCTCATTATGAGAGGCTCACTAACACGATAAAGTCAGTACTCTATTTGCACAGAGTGATACCTCTAATTGCTCAGGCCTTCTTACGGTTTGTGTCTGCTTGAGTTAGATTTCTTTTGTGTAGATAAAAAGACTTCTGTAAGAAATCACCTCAGTGCTACAGCACTGTCAGTCTGGAGGGCATCTCCAATGAGATTAATGATGTCTGCCTTAATATAAGAAAACTTTGCATAAATGAGATTATGGTTTCTGCTGAAACCTGCCAACTCTTATTCATTTGCTGTAAATATTATCTTTAATTAAAAGTTTTAAGGTATCTTGTTCCTGAGCTAATGAGATCTACAGTGATTTCCCTTAGGAATTAATTTACCTTCTTAATTCTTATTCATTTTGGTGATATGACTATTTAAATCTGATTCAAACTTCAGAGCTTTGTTGAACATATTCATCTAGAACAAAAGGTCATTTTGCCATCGTGACGTTGAGTTGGTATTTGTAATTCTCTGTTCGCTCTCAGTTCCATAGGTATTTGTTTAGGTTCCTGCCCCAAACATTTCCCACTAACACTCCTGCTTGTCTTGGCTGCTCATCCTGCGTGGCTCTTTCTGCAGCTGTTTCACTTTGGCTTCTGCTTTCTCTTCCATCCAGAGTAAAATCAATTATAGCGAGGCTGAAAAAAAGATCCTGATTGTGATCAACTTATTTAGAATTGCAGAGTTATGTAAAGTACACTAAACTACGTGTGCAATTAGTGGGAAATACAGAAATACTTGACTCTCTATCCATGTAGTCATCAGCCCCTGTTTTTGTACAAGGACTTTACATAGTTGTAAAGTACTTTCCTGTTGTGGAAACCCACTGCTTGCTCTGTTCCTGAACTGCTGCTGGGTAAGACACACGTTTTGTGGCACCAACTGAGCTGTGTGGGGCTGTGCTATGTATAGGACCATCACTGACTCCTGCAAGTTGTTGATGGCCTTCCATTTATAACTTACTGCAGACCAACTTCCTCCCATCGCACACAAATTAGAGGACTATCAATAATGCATGAGCTAATAAGTAATGCTTGTGCGCTGTTGTCTGGGCAGCAAGTATCATTTAGACTGCAAGAGAGATCCTCGTGTTGTGTCAGGTAGAATGGAGGCCCTTCCATACCTGTCAGGCTTCGGCAGCGTAAAAGGATGGGATTTTTGTGTGACTTTAAGACAGCTGAAGGAAGTGGTGAAACTCATTCTGTTAGATTCAGAGAAATGTGAGAGATCTGCTTCCTCTTCAAAATCAATCTTTGATTTCCTTGACTTATTTGATAGCTGTTTACAAAATATCAGTGTAAGAACTGCACGAATTGCCAGACTGGGTTACCCTGAAGTCTCTGTGGTGTCCAGTGTCTTATTTACAACTTCTTGTGTCTGGATGTTTCATAAGAAACCACTAGAAAGTGCACAGCAGCTGTGTGGGGCACAGCCTGCCCTTGCACTTGCTCATCATTGCCATACAGAGTTATTTCCAGACTGCAGGATAAGTTTTTGTTTCTTTTTAGAAGTAGTTTGGTGTTATTTATTCCATCATCTATGTAACAATGAGCCCAGCTGAGTTTCTGAGCTTTTGACTTTAATTACATCTTGTAGTGATGAATTCCTGAGTTCAATTTCTCATTCAGTGAAACTGCATTTGTCTTAATTAGCCCTAATTTTGTGTCCTGTTCTTCTGTTCTTGTTTTTGTTTACCAGAGTGAAAACTGAGGCATATAAAATATATTCTCTTCCCCCCTCTCCCTCCCCCCCCTTTTTTTTTTTAAATGAACAAACACCCCCCAAATACCTGCCTGGTCTCCATGAATGTTTATCACTGATTTCAGGATTTGGTTCAAAAACAATCCTTGTTTTAAATAGTTTCCATGGCCATCATACACAGTAACTGCTGAATTACGAGAACTTTGACAGCACGTGTTAAAGTTTCAAAGTACAGAGGGAATTTCATTCCTGAGCTACTTCAGTACATTGCAGCTATCTCATTTTGTAATTCTCAATGGCCAAACAACCGAAAAACAGGTGTTGGTGATGCTGAACTTGAGCAGTCTTCCATATGGTGATAGATTTACTAAATCGCAGCAGCCATCCCTGGAGGTGTTTGAGAACCATGCAGGTGTGGTGCTGAGGGATGTGGTCAGTGGGCATGGTGGGGGTAGGCTGGGCCTGGGGATCCTGAAGGGCTTTCCCAACCTGAATGATTCTATGGTTCTATGATACTCTTGGGGAAAACTGAGCCGAGAATTCAGCCACCAGGCTGTAAGATCGAGGAAAGAGAAGTACGAAATGTGTAGCGTCACACCCCCAGGGGCTGTAAATCAGCTAGGTAGGAGTGACTTCAGTTACCTAGTGCTGTTAGAGCCAATCTCCACAGGAATCTGCAAACCAAGCTCCTTCCTTCCAGCTTCAGGCCGTCTGCACCACGTGGAGCCCCATTTTTCCACCATCTAAAATCTGTGACCACAGCTCAGGCAATACCATGTTTGTTCACATAATTGAACTAATTCAGAAGATCTTGCCTGCCTTAGGCTGTTGGTCTCCAAAACTAAAAACAAGTCCTGCTCCTTGAGCAGAGAATATTAAAGCCGTATTTAAATAAGTCCCGTAGAAAACAAGGCTATTAAATGCACGTTATCACAACATCAAGTTAATCCAGTTCAGAAATGATCACAGTGCACGACTGCCTTCACAAGTAACACAAGTACTAATTGTCAATTTTAATAGTGAGGAAGGGTTTTAATCAGTTCTGAAGAAAGAATGGCAGCTTTTATTGCTACTTAATTACATTTGCTGCAGCCCCTAACTTCCATAAAGTGTTAGTTCTGCTTTTCCAGCTATTGAGAACCAGCAGAGTATATTAAAAATAGGTCCTTTTTCTGAACTATTTTGGAAAAAGCCTGGCAGCAGATCACTTGGGGCTCGGATCTGTTCTGTGCTGCAGCCTGCCCTGCACTGCCCAGCAATGTCAGAAGCAAGGTTGAAGGTAATTTGAGAGGGCTCAGACAATCAGAGCTCAACCCCCGTCCGTTTTGTAAGGATCAGCAGTTACTATTTAAATTTAAAATGTATTGGCATAAATGAGGAATCCTGACTTCTTACATTTTTACTGTTAAGTCCTTTTATGGGTGGCCTTAAAGATGCACTGCCATTTCCAGAGGCTGGAGTGTATTTTTAGTGGAAGCCTTTTGATAGCGTTGTTAAAAACTGATTGCATTCCATCCCTAACGTCAGCCTGATGCAGAGTATTTTGCAAAGGCAGTTTGTTATAAATTGTTGGTAAGTGTCAGATAAAAGCATCATTCTACTACAAGCAACTAGCAGTAGACATGTAATAACATTTACATTAATATTTTATTTAAATGTATCATCAATTCACAGTCACCCTGCTCTGTAACTGGTATGAATACTGAAATAATACGCCTACAGCCTACAGAAAAACACTCTGAAATTCACCAAAAAGGTATCCAAAAACACATTTGACATTTTTACAAATATTAGCTGTGTTCAGTTTCCACTAATAACAATTATGAAACTCGTTTATGTCTTCCCTTCAGGTCTGCAATGAGGGGACACAGCCGCTGCAGGCAGCAGATGTGAGCAGTGGCAGCCCAGAGGATGGGGACAGCCATGCTGTGCCTCCAGCAGTGCTCACTGCCTGGCCCAGGTCAGTGCTTCGTGCTGGCAAGGGATGGGGTGAATACACTGCTTCTTCCTGGATGGTGATTCAGGAAATACAGAAGATTTAGATTCTAAGGCACCAGCAAGTGATGAGGCAAACTGCTGTGTCTGGTTACCCTAACTGCAGCTGCAGGTAGAAAACAAAAAGGCAAAAAGTAGTTTGCATATTCTTATTTATATGGCCACATGCATCTTATTTACACTGCCACCGTGGGTCGTGCGACAGCTGCTCAGGGCTGCAGAGACATCTAGTGGGAATGAGGCTCTCATAGCAGCAGCTCAAAAGCATGAGAAAAGCACCTTCAAGCTGCAGCATTTTCAGAATACTGCACTCCAAAACGTGCCCTAGGGCTGAGATGCTCCTCATGTCACCAATGCGAGACTATGCCATGCAGTCCTAATCCATACTGCATTTCCAAAGAAGCAAAACCAATAGCCAAGCAGTGATTTTCATTTTTACCTGGGTTTAAATCACATTCGAAAAATAATTTTCAGCTCGCAAAGCGCACACCTTGCTGGGTGGGAGCCCAGCTAGCAGTGAAATGCAGCTCTGTGCTACTGTGGGGAGCTGAACTCCCTCTGCCCCTCTCTGGGCTGAGCTTCAACTCCTGTTTCCATCCAGAAGGAGTGAAGTATCATGGTACATCTTGTCCTGGAGTGGCAATTCCAGAGTGACTCAGAGCCTAAGTCTTGCTCCCAGTGTCATACAATCTGGCCCAGCCACGTCTATTTTTTTTTCCTCTAGGTCTCAGCAAAGGAGTAAGACAAAGAGGGCAGGGAACAATCAGGAATAAATAAAGCAAATGAAGCACTAAGTCAAAATTACAAATGGTGAATAGCTTAAATTCTGGCGCACTGTTACTTATAGCATTGCTTATTATTACTGTTACAATTTGAAGTCACTGCAGCCTTGTGGCATAGGTGGATTAAGTCATGGGTTCGAGCTGATCTCTTCTAAAACAGGTTTATAGAGTTCAAGGATCTCTGCTAAAAATAACTTCCTTCTGGTAACATGACAAATGGAAAACTGTGATCATCGGGAAGGTTGGTTTTAGGTTACTGATGGAAAAATGGCCTTCAGGACCACTCAGTCCTGTTCATATCTGAGAGGTTTAAGCAGAAGGAGCAAAATTTGATCTCCTAGCCAGCAGTGTTGTCAGAGCTACAAAAATCTTTCTAAAACATTGTAATCACAATTTAAAAGTAAACACAGCTGATTTTTAAGCAATTATCATAATTTTAAAAAAATAAATAGTTGTGGACATGCCAGATGACTCAAGGGCTAGTGAACATTTTACCTGAAAGTTATCAAATCAAAATCAGCCTGGCTTGATTTTAATTGATGGTGGCTGTTCGGCAGGCTAAGTGAAATGAGTTTGCTAATGTAATTTCTAGGGGTAGAGGTCTTTGCTGACTACCAGAAGTCGGAATAGATCAAGTTACAGCATTATCTTTTCACTCCTACACATGATTTGTCTAAGTCAGATTTAAGGTAGTTTGGTATTATGAGGAACCTTGTGTTGCAACCAACTGTATCTGAGACACACTGCCACAAGTCCTGAACGACAAAACCTTAGCACAGATGTCTCTAAGGACACAACGCACCCAGCAGTCCCAGGTTTGGTTGGGTAGCTAACAACCACTTCTTTCCCTTTCTAATCAGGAATCCATTCACGTTCACCAGGAGGATGGAATAAAGTGGAAAATATGGCAAGAAGAAATACAGTCTTAATAGGTAAGAGTCATAAATTGCAATGGTTCACACTGAAAACCTCAGAAGCAAAGACGCTAAGAAAGCAGGATTATTGTAGGAAGGTATGATTTTTTTCTCTGGCTCAGGAAACACGTGGATTGAAAGACAGCACTGCATTTTTCCAGGACCATGGTGATTAATCTGTGCACATTAAGATGACTTTCATGTCTGTGTTATGACACACTTAATAAAAACTGTATCTGGCTATCCCATTAGGTAATACATTTATGTTTTCCTCAAGCAAAAATGCCCCACATGTGGAGCTTATGGAGTGCACATGTATTTGGACACAACCCTTTGAAAATACGTCCAAAGCTTGTAAAGTAATTTTAAGCAGTAGGTTTTTCAAAATTATATTTAGTCCTGCAACACTGCGTATAGAATCGAGTTTACTTGCAACGTTGCTGCCCCCTTCCATACTTCATTTCTGATGCTCAAATATCTGTCTAGCTTTGACAGGAAAATGAATAATTTATCACAGGATGCTATTCAAGTAAAAGCAAAATAAGGAAACAGAGAGTTTACACAACTTGAATCAAGAGTGCTGTAGTAAACAGTTACACTTATAACCCTACAGACTGGCCTTATACAACCTTTACTTTACAGGGGCAAACTCAGTGGAACAGCTCCTATTTTTGCTGAAAGTTTAAGCTGTAAAATCAGCAACAGCAGGTTCTGAGGGCAGAGTGCTGATCCAGCACCTCTTCTTTGGTAGGACTCAGCTTTGAAAAGCACCGACACTCACTGCAAACAAATCCTGCAGGAGGGCACTGACATCACAGGGGTCAGTGTTGGAACATCCTGCTTCACTGTATGCAACAAGGGAATCCATGGTATGATTCAAACTCACTTGCAAGATACAACACCTGGCATTGCTAAGATTGATAATAAACTGCAAGTGAAATCTTACCTTCATTAATCACACACTTGAGTGCCACAGACTTGGTTTAGACAGCTTTAAACATCTGTGCTGTATGAATTTGCAGGTTCCTAACAAGGATAGGACACGTGCTAATTTGTAACAGACGACATCAAGTTTAAAACCCAGTCCTGCCAAGCCCTTCTCCCAGCACCAACAACTTCATAAACGTCAAGTATGCAAAACGAATGTTCAAGACAGGAGTTGGGACAGGGGCAGAAGGTGATAGAAATCATCTTGACAGTGACTCGTTCAGCATCCAAATTATGTTTGGCATACCTCAGTACAGGACTTTATCTTCAACCTTTCTTCTCATCTCAGAGGATCTAAACACTTTTTCCTTCCAGATCTTGCTCACAATTCTCCTTCAGTATGGACCTGCTGGACAAACATAGTTATTGACTGATTAGAAGCTAGCCCTTATTACTCCCACTAAGCCTTGCTCACTTAGACTGCTTTGTACAGTTTTCTTAATAACCTATAGGGGATGCAAATGAAATAAGAACGATTTTGCATCAAATAAAAATACCAGAATTACTGGAAATAATCTGTGGTAAAGAGGAATTTAATCCTGTACCTTCTATGGCGATCAAACTACTTTTATTTACTATAAAAGACACACAGAAGGTGATTAGAATAAAGGACAATAACAAATATTTGCTACTTGAAAATGCTGAAATGAAACAAGGGAAACTTTTTTTCCCCCAATTTTTCTTGCAGACAGAAAACCCTTTTAACGTGGGACCAAGTAAAACCCACACTGTTCATAATGAAAAATTGAAAATGTGTTAAATGCAAATTTAACACATTTTCCCATTACATCAATGATCTAAACAAAAACAAGATGATCGAAGTACATTTCTAGAATCTTCCTCCCTCCAATAAGGAATAGTAAACTTAAAAACAAACAAACACAAACCTTATTAATTTCTTCATTCACAAAGAAGAGCTGATGTAGATAATTTCCCATGAGATATTTATGTCCAGAAGTTGCAGGCTTATTTTAGTCTCCTACCAATATAATAGTTTTTTCACAGATCTGCTAGACCTCTAAATAAATACGTTCATATTTTATTTATCTCTTGTATTTAGTTAGATGATGGACAGATTTTTTTTTGTAAATATACTTATTTGGTACAGTCAAATTTGACTAATCTTTCGTTATTTTAAAGACACACTGGACAAATGGAAAATTCAGACACTGAGAACAGCCTCTCTGCATGCCGTTATTCTTTTTGACAAAGGTCTGCAACAATAGACACAATCTTTATATTATTTCCCATTAAGAATGCAGAGAAAACTGTCTTTTACTGCTTATCAATCATTTTAATATGCTTAAAATTGCATAGGAAATACAGCTATTGAAAACTGCTGAAAATGTAACATGTTTATTTAAAAGAATAACATCGTTTTTCCTTAAATAAACTCCAAGATGCTGACAGCAGTGGGTAGAAACTCAGGAAAATTTGAAACAGCATTTCTTTCTGCTCAAGACCACCAAAAGCGAGGTAGGAGGTGAAAGGCAGGCGGGCAAGAGCATCAATTCAGGAGGCCCTTTGGCAATGAGACTGCCCACAGATGTTCAGGATTCAAACACTGCTCCCGTAACGCTGAGTGGAAGGAAGAAGAGATAACAGCAATATAATTTGCCCTGAATCCTTCTACAGCTGCAAAAGATCTAATGGCCCAGGGTGGTATCATTTGTACTCCAACTGTCTGAGCATTGGTAAATCTGAACTTTCTTTGACAGTCTTATTTTTTTTCATTTATCTTTAAACTGCTACATGGTTATATATTTTGGGGGGATTGGGAAGTATAAAATTACGTCTCCTTGGGCTGTCAAGTCTGCACCCAAGGGGAATCCAGTATTAAAAAAAAGCAAATTACACCGCTATCATAGCCTTCCATTCTCAGCAACCCAAGTAACACAGCAATGAGCTAGGGAAAAAACACAGGATGGAACATTCTTGTGTATTCAGATGAAATATTTATTCTCTGTACAACTCCTACTGACTATTAAAATCCTCTCAAAAGAGAAAAATAAAACAATTTAACGATGGGATTTCACAGCGCTCACAGAGAACTCATACACGATGGTTGCAGCAGTTTGCTCAGGCCACCGGACTGCCCATCAGCCTTTCCTGCCGCAGAGCAATCAGCCTCTGGAACCACTTCTCTTCTGCTTCTGCCTTCTCAATAAACAGCTGAGAGATGAAGGGGAGAAGAACAAAAGTATGCACAACTTCAATTTGTTATAATGTGTTGAAATACGTAATGAAACATCAGTGCTAAGAAAAGAAGCCCAGCTACACACAGGTGTTAAAATACTGACATAAATACAGAAGTCAAGGTTGAGACTTCAATGTTTTGAAAGCCAACATGGTCTAACTTCAATCTTCCCCTAAAATAGTGAGTTTGTTGGTGGTCTCGCACTGTTGTTAGCCATATCCATTATTTGGAATTTGCATTAGCTTAATTATGGCAAACCATTTTTAACTTCCTAATTCTTAAAAAAAAAACAGCTAAAATGCAAGTGAAAATACAAAACAAACATGTTTCACTTGTATCCATTCATCTTTTAGCCAAAGGAAGCTCCTTGTTTGTAAATCTTCTCTGTTGGATTATGCAAGGAAAGTAATCTGTTCTGAGCCAGTGAGTGGCCCCTTGGTAAATACTCTTCAGACCACAGACTAATTGATGAGCAACATGGCATGGCATGTGAACCTGGCCACATTCAATGGGCCATGTTGTACTAAAAGAAAAATATCAACACACTTACATTTGGATGTGCTAAAGAATTATCATCCTGGTATTTGATGGCAGTAGGAATATTGGCAGGTACTGTTTCTTTTTCAGGAGCAGATGCTTCGACAGATCCTGCTCCTATAGTTACAGGTTCGTATTTTAGTTCGGGAGGCTCTACTGACTAAAAAGAAAGAAACACACTGAGCATTTCATCCTTGGACTCCCAGACACGACAGTATCTTAGCCGAGCATTCAGCTTTCTTTGAACTGCAGCACATGCCCACAGAATTCGCAGCATGCACGGGTTGGGCACGGACTCACAAACACACAAAGTGGAAGAAGGTACTGCCAAAGGCAGTGGGAGAGCTTTGGTTGTGGGATCGCTTTCTGAAGAAGCGTTGTGAACTTCTCGGATATTTCTGAAAAGAAAATGCATGTTCTCAGGGAAACATACAGTGCTGATTCAAAATGCTTTCTTGTTAGATGGAAAAGCTGAAGCAAGCCTTTGTTTGCACGCTTCCAAAAACGGTGCCTGAATTTGTAGAAGAGCTGGCAGCCAAATGCAGATAAAGTTCTGAAATGTGGATGTCTCACATTAGGTTTTCAAAAGCTGTCTGAAAACAATGCCATTTTGTTTCAGTGAGCAAATATGGGCTTGAACTCTGATTCCAGCTAAGCGGAATTAAAAATACTAATTTCTACCTTTAACTACAATGTAAATGTCTGATTACTTTTACATTTTAATTCTTCTGCTTTTCTTTAAAAACATCTTCATGACTGTATACAATTTTAAAAGACTTTTTAAAAATTGGAGTCGTGCAGCATAGTTACACTATCAGAATAGCTGCATTTCATGGATGCATGCTTAAATGTATCCTTCCTTTGCCCACACAGCAACATAGGAGAGTCCTTGTCCAAAACTGATTCCAGCGGTGGCATTACGGAATGTCAGCTCCGATGCTCCTTCATCAATGGAAACTGTATTCATGGCGTAGCTCCCACCTGACTTGGAAGGGATTATGCACCAAGAAAGGACATTGCAAACTTACCTTTTTGACTTCTTTACTTGATCTGAATGTCTGTGGAACAAAGGAGTCACTTTCAATAGCTTCAATTTCTTTCACTCGTTTCACTTGCTCTACCAGGGTGGCTTGGTCTACAAAAAGAAGGTGTAGTGTCAGTATACATTACTGTAAGCCTGCAATAAATGCTGTGCCAAAGCAATGCACTCAATGTATTTTACCACAGTGTATACTGCTTGCAATGCAGCCTACAAGATTCTGTTACAAAGACGACACAAAGCCTTTCTTCTTTAGTAAAACTAACAGCAGTGAGTTGGCACTGCTGTTCAACACATGCCAACATTCAAGATGTTAATGTAAGAATTTTGAGAGAAGTCCTTGCAGTATAACCACTAGATTTATGGCACGAGAACTTCCTGTAGGTGAGGATTTGTGGCCAGAGCCAATACTTCAGGGGAGCCGAATCTGCATGAAGTAGCACAACTGCTTCTGCTGGTATTGAGGGAGTTTGGCTTCAGCTGTGGATGCCTACAGCAATGAGCCTTACCCTGTGTTCTCATTGCAAGCTAAGTTATCACCTCTGTGCTGCCTGCTCATTATAATACATCTGACCAAAAAGAGTATTTATTTCACTTCCCATTTCATTTTCTGCTTCTTCAGATTCCCAGCTCAGTTAATCTATCTCTACCCCTATGTCTGACTGTAGTGACAACTGAATCTTCATTCCTTCTTTTCACTGCACGCTTTTATTTCAGCCCGTGTTTAAGAGCTCTGGTGGCCTGCTGCTGAGGAATTTTATTTTAAAAAAGATTTCTAAAGGTCCCATAGAAAGGATAAAAACAAACAGGCTAATGCCCTGCCAGACAGAGGAAATCCTCCTTCACTAGGGTGCTTCAGCTCGGGGGCAGTTGGTAGTCACAGCATTGGAAGTGGGGGTCAGCAATGCAGATAGGAGAATGGATTTGGGATCAGCTGCTCTCTGCCTGTCACTGCCTTCTGCCCGGGTCTTACACAGACCGGTGGGAATGACAAATTATTAAGGGCAAAAATCACTAAATGTTGAGAATTACATCAGTGACATTAACTTGGGAAAATGGACTGGAGGAAGCATAACCCATTAGTGCGTGATATTTTTTGACAAACACATTATTGGTAGATAAAATGACTTCCATGTGTTGTTTGTCAGATGTCAGTAGAAAGGATATGTATTTCATAGTAAAATCAAGAATAATGGAGTCAGAAAGCTGAGAGGCTACAGACAAAAAAGAAATCAATACTACCTCATTGCCCAGCAAGTCTTTCTGCTGTGCTACCGTGAGCAAAACAAGCTAACTACTGCGCTCGGGATCACTGGGGCCACTTCTTACAGATAGGCCATTCCAGAAGAAGAGTTGCTATTTATTTTGTCCTTTTTCTCACAAGTTGACAGACAGAAGACCCCAACAGACAGCAGAGCAAACACCACCACTGCAGAGAACGATCCCATCCCCTGGCTTTACCCAGGGCTCCACCCAAAGTGACAGCATCCCCAGACAAGGCTCCACACTGAGCTGCTGCGGCCAGGGAGAGGTTTTATGGCTAATTTGTGTTCTTCACGTCCAACTGTAAGTATGAGTGCTTGCACTGCACTACTTTAATATATTATAAACACATAATCTACCTTTCATAGTAAACATCTCTCTTTAGAATAACAGAAATACCAGGGGTAAAATCAAACAGACAACAACGAGGAATCCAGAAATAGGTGACCTGAGAACACCTGGATTTCTGCTCTATGCTCTGTATGCACATTCACCTCCCCCATCTTTTCCCAAGCCCACTTCAACTCTGCAGCCTCCTCAGGCATTCATAAGCACCCGAGGTGGGCTCGTGCATGGGCAGGCAGCAGTGCTGGGCAGGGTGTGGGGGGCAGGCAGTGGGGGCAGGCAGTGCAGCCAGTGCCCCCACCCGAGCCCTCACAGCCCAGAGCAGGGCACGCTGCATTTGTCACTGCAGCCCACGTCGGAGGCACGCAGCTCTCTTTTCTCAGCACAAAAGCAAGATATGTAATTCGATGCTCAATTTACCCTTGTCTCGTAGGAGATTTTTCCCTGCTAATTGATAGAAATTAAGCCATTAATCAAGCCACTAGCCATCATTCAAACCAGGGAAGATGAATACAAACTTTCATCATAACCACCTTCCCCATTTTAGTGTTCATTAGCATTAATTTTTAATGCAATTATGCTATTCTTTTACGCTGAGCTCATAAATTACTGCTCTTTTGTTGCTCGCTGGCCTTGTAAAATCCAAGGTAATGCTTTGTGCTCTGATCTTAAAGGCAATTACTGGGTTCTTCTATCTTTTATGTATCTGCATCCCAAATAACCTCTGTATTGTACATACAAACTAACGAGTGGATATATTACGCATACGTTTAATATGTAACAATTTGTCTATGTTGAACTTATCCGAGTCTCTCGAAGGCTTTCAGACAAATAAAATTATTTCCACACCCACCACCCCCCACTGCAGGCACCAAGGGAGCAGAGCCGGGCCCTGCCCAGCAGAAGGTACCACCAGCAGTGGCAGCACAAGCTGTGCTCCGAGCTCTGTGCTGGAGCAGCTCCCAGTGCTGCGCAGTGCTGCCAGCTGCAGCAGTGACCGCCACGCTCATATCCCAGTGCACGTATTGATCCTCAGCAACACATCAGGGGAAGTGCACGGGAGTGAGAACCACCCTGGTTACCCTCAAACACCGAATACAAAGTAAGTGGCTAAATGAAAGATGGAGCTGTGTTGGGGTACAGAAAGCATCAGATAAAATCGATCACGCTGAGGAGCGTGCTCTGCTTTCAAGCTCTCCCCACCTGATGCCCGCTGTACCTCTGTCCTTACTCCCTTCTTCACATCCCACCAAGGCCAATGTGCACCCACTGCACAGCACTGTCACAAAGGCACCAACTGCTGTGGCTGTTCAGAGGCTGGTGGGCCCCAAAGCAGCCTGGGCAGAAGTTCCTGACAACACTCTAAGATGTCTGGATAGCAACAGTACAGATCTGCACACTGAGTAATGAGAAGTGAGTTACTGGTTCCTGTCCGAGATGAAGCAACACTGAGTGAAGCAGAGATCCTACAGAAAACCTGCAATAATTACCTAAAGGTCACAATGCTTAATTCCATGTTTTCCCCTCAATTTCTGCAAAAATAGAAAAACCTACTTTCTTCCAACTGCTATTGGAGAAAACATTTCTAATAAACATCCCATGTGGGGAACAGGTATAGTGAGGTCACCTTCCCAACATCCCAGCACGGAGCCCCGCAGGGCCCTCACCTGTTGGCAAGAGGCCGTGCCAATGAAGGCTAAAAGGCTCCTGCCCAGCATTCCATTTCTGTTGGAACTGCCTGCTTTAAGCTGCACTCTGCCCACAAACACCAAACCTAAGTGGGCAACAGCACTGCTCAACCCTTCTGCCAACCCCTGCTCCCTCAGTACAAGCCAGGGTGGAGGCAGGGTGTGCCAAGGGGGGAGCTGGGGACCCACAGCCCCCACTGCTGCTCCCACGAGGCCACCCCACCCCACGCAGTCCGCCTGTGTCTCACTGGCTCTCCTCCATCCACTTCTCCCTTCTTTCTGTCGCAGCTGTTTGGCTCACTGCATTTTTTCACAGATCTCTCACACTTCAGAAATAGCGTTCACTTCATCTTCGCCCTTGTAAAATTTATTTTCCTGTACATTAAATATATTTTTGTTTAATATGAAAAAGAAAGCGATGATTTGGAGACAAACACAAAGTTGTATTTCATTCCTGGAAGGAGCCTACACATGCTGTGGTTTCACTGTCAAAATGCAGAGCTGGGAATTTTGCCACATGAAATTATAGGAGCGCAGCCCAGGAATGGGGTAATGCCTTAATGCTTCAACATGAAGGAAAGAAAACATAACTCAATTAAAACATTTGCTTTGGGGATTTTTCTGACACTCCATATACTTGGGAAAACTGCCACCTACCCTGACCTTTCTGTTATAATTATGTATATCATCTTAAATATCATTAAGTTAGCCTGTATTTCACTCATCTTACATGTTTACTGAGTGTCTGGATTTTTTTCCTTGATTTTAATAACTTGTTTCCAGGAAAGAAAAATTCTTAAAGTGAATGACAACTTTTTTGCAATAACACCAGAGAAAAGTAATGTAGACTAAAAATTATTCACCAGCAAACACTTTGCTGCTCAGTGCTTTGAACTTTGGTGGTTTTAGATGCAGTGCAATGATGTGCACGTGGGCTTGGACCAAATGTGGGTATTTCTGTGTGACTGCAGTTCGAGTCTAAAAGGTCCTTTTTGCTACATCACCAGATAGCTCAGCGATCTTGGACCGCCCACAACACTAAGGAAGCATCCATCCCTTACCATGCCAGTAGGTTTCCATTTCCCAAAGGCTCTTCTGAAGATCCAGGGCACCACGGGACTCGTGCAGGATCTGCACAGACCCCATCCATACACACTATGGACACACAGAGGACATTGGAAGGAGCTGCTGTGTGCTCATCATAAAATCGCACTGCATCAACAAGGCATCACACATCCTGCCTGTTACAACACATCCTGCACATTACAAAGATGTATTAATGCAAAGGAATGCCTCTCTCCCAAAATCCACTTCACCTTTGCAAGGCTGCCTACCTTTTACTTAGATTCACTTAAAAACTTGACAACTCACAACTGGACAAACTAGTACACTACTGCATCGTTTTCCACCTGGTAAATCAAAGCAGATTCTCCTGGAAGTGCCATGTGGGTCTGAGTCCCCAGCTGATGTCACAGATGCCCCAGCAACAGCGTGGGTTTCATCATGCTGGCAGCCAGGGAAGGGTTTGTACCTACAATGAAACCACTCTAAGTGCCACAGCCACCTGAGGAGGGCCCTTCAGGATACACAAGCTGTAGCCACCTCAGTATTCCCCAGCATGCAGGAGCCGTGCTGGTCCCATGGTGCCCCAGCTCTGGGCTGCCCCACTGGAGGTTGGGGGGGGACTGTGCCCCAGCACACAGCCAGCAGCATGGAGCCCATCCCAGTGGTGACCATGTAAGAGCTGGTGACCGAATTGATCGCTCACTGACAATGCTCAGCTCAGCCCTGCAAATGCATCAACTGGGTAATGAGGAGCTATTAAGTCTATTGATTTCCTGATTTCAATTGATAGCGAACAGGCCAAAGCTACACATCAATATTTGCGTAACTAATACCCAAGAGCTAACAATTTTGACAAATGAAAACCTCAACAGAGCAAACAGTGAAAATTAATGGAAATTTAAAGACCAAACCTCAGAATTTAAGTGAAATATTTAAGGGATAATCACGCTTTATATTCCTAGAGAATTCTGTGGGTTTTTGTGTTGCATTTTTTGGAGAAGGGAGCTGTGTTTGTGTGGTTTTTGGTTTTCTTTTGTTTTCTTTTAAATGGAGAAAATAAGCAAACAGCAATGGAGAAGCCCATTGCCCTGCACTCCGTCTCCTGCCCTTGTTTATCTTCCCTTCCAGAAGCAGCTTTTCGATAGGTAGCTATAAATTTGTTGTAAATGATTGAAGTCAGATAACTAATTATGTGATTGCTTTACAATCCCATTACCTTAACTGATGCTTGTCTCAGACTTATCCTTTAGCACAAATAAATGCCATAAAGACGATGGTAAAATACGCAACGTTAATGAAATACAGAAGCAATTTTTATTTTTTGTCTGTCTTAAACTTTGAAAACAATTTCCAGACTTTTAATTTATAAAATAATTAATAAATTGCCCCCTGAGAGAGAGCACGACTTCATCTGTATTTCCACTTGCAGAATGGAAGAAGCTAAAAGCCGAATCTTTGCTGGTTTTCTACAGACCCAACCCCAACCCAACCACCCCTTCCAGGGCAGCCATGGAACACAGCTCTGGTGCCAATTCTTCATCTAAAAATCTACCTCTGAAGGGATCTGAAATAGCTATTTTTTAACACGACACTGATGATACACCCATAATAGGGAGCAGAGCATTTTTCTTTTGGGGAGCAGGAGGAAAAGGAAACAACTTTGTCAGTTGGGGTTTCAGCTTTGAATCATCACCATCTACCCATGGAGCTCTTCATCTTCACAGAGGCATAAATAAAATGCTAATTATACCTGCTGTGCTTACTGAAATGCCTCAGATACCAGCTGCAAAGTAATTTTAATATTTAGGCACATCTCACTGATATCCTAACCCTTAATGGATCCCACATGTTAATCGGCTTCAAGCCAGAAGAAAATCCACCTGATTTCTTCCCTCCATAAATGCATATGAAAACAGACAAATGCTGCTTTGTGTTTTAATAGAGATGAAAAACAAGACACTTCCACAGATGATATAAGGGAAGTTGTTGGTTTTAATCCATTTTCTTTCAAATAAAGGTGCACTGTAATTTCTCTGCAGCCATCACACACAGCCTTTATGCAATGCTCTGCTCCACAGCTTTCCAGCTAATGCGTGCAATAAAGCCAAATCTTGGATTATTCATATGCAAACTCAAGGATTAAAACAAAACATTGCTCCTTCCAGGTGAAGTATGTATGTTCATAACGCTGCAGAAGAGCAGCAG